CCTGCAGCCAGAGACCTGGATGGCTGTGTGTTTCCCTGGGAGCCCAGTCTGGGTGGATGCATCCTTTCGGGCTAGTGCAGGGGATACAGCCTTCCGCCGGGTGGATACCATGGCCATGCCCAGGCTCCCTCTCACCAGCTGAACTTACCAAACCTACCTCTTGAGCTAGGAGGGGGGGCACTCGGCCTTCCCTGCACACCCTGCCTGTGTGTACTGCCGTGCAAACTGACGCACCACGTCCTGTTTGCTCGTCCTGTTTGCCGCGCTCCCTAGGGGCTGCTTTTATAGGTGGGGTGTTTGGCCGCTGTCACTCCTGTCCCCGCCCACGCTGCATCAGAGCTGCTGCTCAGCAGCAGCTCGCCCTTTCCCGCTCTTTCCCGCTCTTTCCCGCTCTAGGCGGGGGGCTGGGCTGCCCTCTCTCTCCCTGCGCTTTTGCCGCCTTAGCAAGGGTGCCCCGGCACAAGCATCCACTCTGGAGCCCTTCACCTCGGTGACTGCGAAAAAAACCCCAAGGCCAGTTCCTGGAGGGCCAAATAGCCCTCTCACTGTATTAGGCCAAAACTGACTCTGTGCATCCAAGCAGTGTTGAGCCTGAGGTAACCTACCCTCCTGGACCACAGAATGCTGCTGGCACGCAGAGTGTGGCGTAGCTCACCCTGAGGCAGAACTGGTCCCTGCATGGGTCTATGAGGAGTCATTTGGGTGTCATTGTCCACGGCTCCCCTGGGCTCCTAGTCTCAGCAATACGTCTGCAGAGTCTCTGCAGCATGCTCTCTAGACACATTTGCTGCTTGTTAGCTTAAGCTTGGTGTCTTGTGAAAGTGTTTGTAATGTTTCCAGACCTGAGCAGGCAGTGCTGTGCCTCAGCTAATGAACCCAGCCAGACTTTGCATAGAGCCAGCTAAGCTCTCTGCATCCACAGTGCAGTTAATCTGCAAGCAGAATATGAGCTCCCGAGTGACTGGTAATTGTAGCTGCTCTTCAGTGTCACCCTAGGATTGTGACTCTTGCCAGTTTTGCCTTGCCTGTGTTTTCAGAAGAGGGCTGGCAAATTTGCTGAGCTGCACTGTGTTCTTCTAGCATAGCAGTTAGGTGAACAGTAGTAACTCTGTGGGTCTTGGGAGCTAGTATCTTTCCTAAATGTCTCCATAAGAAATTAGTGTAACAAGACTCAAAAAGACCTTAAGGAAGGAGACTGTGATTTTATTTTACAAATCTCAAAATGAATGGGTTTTGTCCCCTTGCACTGTCTTACCCATATACTCAGCAGCACCAAGATGTGTGCATCTCAGTGGCCTGGCCAGCATCACTTACGTGCAAGAGAGATGGTACAGGGTACTTACTGGATCTCAGTAAGAAAGGCCTAACAACAAATGGCTAAATAAAACAGCTGTTTTAATAAAAGAGAATAAAGAGAAATACAGACAGCGAGTAAATCTAACATGCCTTCAGATGCTGGGCACCCTGTGTTCGTGCAGGGTTGGACAGACTCCGGATGGATTTCCCCATGACACGCTGCGCAGCTCCTGTCTGTGAAGGGAAGCTCCCCCTTCTTGGTCATCTGAACTATTGCATCTTTTCTTACAGGAACACAATGCTGTTCCCAAAGGATGTTCGAACTTCCTGCTGCATGTGTAGATAATGGCAGGGCCAGGCTGGTAGTGCAATTGCCGGTGCCAAGCAGGAGCTGCCTGCAGGCTCCGCTGTTACAATCCACCAGCTAGGTTTATCCTGCGGCCAAGGGTTTTGTGCGGCATGGCACGGCCTGAAGGACACGCTGGACGTGCAGCATAGTGCAGCACAGACCTATGTATAGAAATTACACATTACCTTAGTAACATGCAGGCTTCTCAGTCCCTAAGCACAAGGCCAGAGAGAGCAGACATGGCGTGTTTGAGATCACCAGCTCCTCGAATGCCACGTCTTCTGCAAGGCTCCCAATACGCAGTCCCCTCTCTTCCTCCGCAGGGGGAACTCTCAACCTTCTGGCAGGCAAGGTGAGTGAGCTTTGCCAATACCTTCTGAGTGAAGTCTCTCATCAGAGGTATTTGTGAGCACTTGTCCTTGACAAAGCTCTGACAGCATGGAAAGATCTTGTGACGTGTGAGGCCGAACTACCATGCGTTCCACAGAGCCGATCTCCGGGTGCTTCGGAGGAAAGGCCTGCACGCCATGCAGAACAGCTGCACCACTGGGAGGAGCTTCCTGCACAGAAGAATGAATCTCTTTTTTCTGCCAATGAAACGTTATCATCCCTTTCAAACTTACAACCAGGCTTCAAAGAGATTGTCCAATTATTACGTTTTCAACTGGAAACATGTACCAGCCCTCACTCCCCAGCAAAGGGGTGAGGGACGAGTGCTGCCAAGGGCAGGCTTGTAAAGACATGTCATTATGTGGCAGCAACCACCGTCAAACCATTTTTTTCCCTTTCCTCTTACATCACCCGGAGCCAGCGGAGCCTGGGGGCGTGCTCCTTCATCGGCCGTGAGCGGAACCCCCGTCTACAGGAACAGAAACAGGAAGGAGGACAGCACCAAAGGAGAAGAGCGGTGCCGGAGGGTTCACGGGGAGAGGAGAAGCCATGTACAAGAAAAAACTGAGAGGGTAAAAAAAACAATTGCTGACCAAAAAACCTCACCCATCTTCAGCTCTGTGTTGTCGTTGCTCCAACCCAAGGGGACCCCTCGCTTTGTCACCCCAGGGGTGTGCTTTCTGTGTGTGCAAAGTCTCTGCCTTGCTTGGGGAAGGGCGAGGGTGCTACTTGTGCCAGCGTACCCAAGTCAGGGCCCTGGCCCTCTGTGTAAGTGCGAGGGGCCACACCGGAGTCTGAGCCTGTTGGGGAAGTTCCCGCCGGCATAAAACTGTCACAGGAGCTGTAAAATGGCAGGGAACAAAAGGCTCTGATAAAAACGAGTGAAAGATGGGGGTGGGTTGGGGAAGGGCTAAGGCAGGAGCTGGCTCACCCCAACGCTGGGCAGCAAGAGAATCCAAAAGTGCCTCTTCCCTTCTTGACTGTTTCAACGTCTTGAAATGGCTGTTGTGCCACAAAATAAACAGGAAGTGTCGGACCAGACATTTTCTGTCCAATAGAGGGGAAAAAAAAGTTCTAGTGCAAAGTTTAGTAAAGAAGTGCATTGACTGTGCAAGGCGTTAGCAATGGAGGAAAAACAGGGATTAAAGAAGTTTTGACACATCTATGCTCTTACATTTTTAGATATTACTATTATTATTATCTTGCAGTGAGCAGAATTTTAAATAGTTTCTAATAAAAAGTGTTAGGGGAAGGAAGGAAATTTATTAAATATCTATAACGGTGCAGTTTATTATGCAGAGTTTTAATAAAAGAGATATTAGGTTTAGGAGCTGTTTTCATAAAATTAGTACGTTTTAAAATAAACCCACTGCATTCCTGTTCAAGTTATGGATAATGGAGCAATAGAAAAGATATATATAACACCTTTTAAAAGATATATGTAATCAGTCAATACATTTTCAAGGTTTAATTCACATTTACATAGCAGCTGCATATTAATGGCAAAGAAGATAAAACCTAGGAGACAGTTATCTTGGCTGTCATCCCTCTGCCATTTTCTCCTCTAACTCCTCTAAACATTTTTGGGTGCAATTCACCTTTCAAGTACTCAAGTCAGTCTTTACAGTTGGTGTATTTCTCTCCAGCTCTGAAAGTTCTGAAAGGGTTACAAGTTTACCTTCATGAGACTGATGAACCAAATTTAGAAAGAAAACTAAAAAAGTTTTAGGACTTTTTTTTTCTTTGATTTGCTAAGTCTCAATTTTGTCTCATATTTGTATCAAGGAACCAGCTATTAAGTGCTTGATTTTTTGAGTTAGGCTCCATGTGTATATGTGTACTGTACATAACAATGCTGAACAGCAAGGACTGTTTATGATAGCTATAAAATTAAAAAAAAAATTGATTGCATGCCTTTGGGCAATTTATCTATAAACTCACAACTTATTTTAAGTATTTTCTTATCTGTTTTGGGGACAAAAGGGAATAGGTGCTGGGATTTTGCATAGACTCTATAATGTGGAAATATTTCATGATGTTTTTTAAATTTCTTGTCTGTCCTTCTGTTAGAGCTCTTTAAATTTACATTAATCCATTATTTTAAAAATAGCAAGTCATATCTAGCAGATATTTATAAGAATGCAGACTTTTGTTTATATTGGATTAAGTTGATTACACAATAAATTTCACTTAGCTTAACACATCTTTAAGGTGGTTTTATCTTGAAGATTAGTGTATTGCAAGATTGTTCTAAAGAAATGGCTTTATGTCCCTGAAAATGTGCACAGGACACCCACTGCAATAGCTTATCCAAAGTGCAGTATTTTATGGTCGAGACACAGGCAAGAGGGTGCTTAAGACCAATTTAAGTAAGACCTGGAAATTTTAACTTGTCTGTATGTTATAATCAGAGGGCAACAACTACAGATACCTTTGAACAAATCAGGTCTCTGTAATCTATTGCAATACTGCTTTCCAAAACCTTAAAGAGACCTTCTGTAAGAATTAGATGAACTAATTGGGCTTGAGTATTGAAGGTTCAATGTATTTTCTTTGGTGAACTTCAAACACTGTCACTGTATGTGTGTATATACACACACACACATATTATATATATAATGTATAAATTATGTATTTTAGATATATGTGTTCTCTAATCATCAAAAAGTTTTAAAGAAATTTAAGCTAATAGGCTTAATGTCTGCTAGATTTATTCTGAATTACTCTAATATGGAAAAATATGTATCTGAAGTGCATTCTTACATAAATCTCTATATAAAGCAGTTGTACAAAGCCTACAAAGTGCTAATGATGACTTCTTATTTATATATCATGAATAATTACTGGTATAAAGGATAAATTCATGACCAACACTGGCAGTCTTTGTATAGTTACTTAATTGACAATATTTAGAGATCTGTTCTGAACTGAATAGATGTGGATCTAAGAGATGGACGATCTGTCAGAAAATGTCATTCTTGGGAGCTGCATCTTTTTGTATAGAGCACTTCCTTTTCCTCCTCTCATGTAGGATTGTGCCGACTGGGCTAATCCTTATGAAAATGCAAACAGCAAGAGAATCCAATGAGGAGAAATACTCAGCTCCATAATTTATCAGTGGTTTTATTTTCTTTCTTTTATTTTTTATTTTTCACAAAATTTGCAACAGCTCCCTACATTGAAAAGGGCTACATAGAAGCCCTGGAAAAATGTCTGATGCATAAAAAGATAGAGAAGGCTTTTAGAAATACTCATAATGACGGGGAAGAGGACAGCCGTAGGGAGAGGTGAGGAGGTGAAAGTTTTGCATGCAGTTGCAGACAAAGGGAGGATTAAGTGGTTCAGGGTTTGGTTCCTTTACCCTGCCAAGGTGCCTACATCTCCATTTTCCTTGCATTGCTCTCCCATGTTTTGCCCTTCTCAGTTCTCCTCTCGTTTCCGCCACCCTTTCCCTTTTTTGTGTACTGGAGAGCTACTGAAAACAAAGTTGTAAACAGTGATTCCTTGAAGTTTCTTTTCTGTTTCAGCATGTATATATCTAAGAAGACATTAAAGAATCATTTTGACCCCCGTCAGTATCCAAAGGACACATACCTACTATGCAAACTGCAGTGGGGTGAGACTGGCAGGCCTTGGATACACTGGGTCAAAAATGAGGGTTGCCATGCTGAAGTCTACTTCCTGGAAAGGATCTTTAAGATGAGAAGATCCAATAATTACGTCAACTGTTCCATCATCTGGTACTTGTCCTGGAGTCCTTGTGCGAAATGCTGCCATAAAATACTGAATTTCTTAAAGCAGCACTCAAATGTGAACATAGATATACGTGTAGCACGGATTTATCACATAGAATGGGAGTATTTCTGCCAAGGTCTGAGGAACCTTATGAGCTCAGCAAGAGTAACCATTGCTGTCATGGAAATTAAAGGCAAGGATTCCTGTGCTTTATGGGACTGGGAAGGGTGAACATGTGAAATTTGTGCATGGGTGAATCTGGTATGGGCTTGCTTCTGTGCCCAGTGTCCTGCCCAGCTTCTTTGGGGGCACATCCATCACCGTTCAGCGACTGAGTGTCGCATCCAAAAAAAGATGTTCAAATATTGCAGGAGAAGGGGGATGGAACTCTTAGCAACCAGACCTGTATGAAAATTCTCCCTTGTTTAGAGACACCATTTTTCTGTCACTCCTGAGGGAATGGGAGATAGGATGCTTCTCCCTTGTCCTAGAGGACTAAATGCAGCTGCTGGGATAAGGCTGGTTGAAGGGGCCCTCCACTGTTAAGAGAGGAGAAAAAAAAATGCCCAGAGAGAATGACAGCGGTTCCAAATACAGAGTGGGCAGCATCCATCAGCTGGCCTGTCCACAGCCAAGTGGTCTCTTTGTCATGGGCACAAGGAAGAGGTTAAAAATTCTTGTTCCCTGAGCTTGTCTGGCATCTGAATGAACTCATCTTGATTCCATTTCTCCAGACTATAATGACTGTTGGAAAACCTTTATCCAAGGAGGCGCTGATGATGATTCCTGGACTGAGGGCTTTCAGCCAGAGATAAATAATAATCGTTCAAAGCTCAACAAATTATTTAAGGTTAGTAGACTCTGAGGGATAGGGGGAACCACATGAAATGATTTGCAGTCTGGGGTCACTGAGCTGTAAAGAGCAGAAAGATGATGTTCATATCTAGTTGGAGTTTAAAGGGTGCTGAAGCATGCTTTTGGAAAAAGTAATACAGTAAAATCATAGGAACTATCCTGTCCCATTGGGAGAGAAGCACTGTGGATTTTTTTCCATCATATTACAAAGCAGAGACTAAGAGTGGAGCTTTTCTCCTTCAGGCTCCAGAGTGGGAAATCCCCAGATTATCAGCTGAAACTCCAGTATCATCCCAGAAACCCTCCACCAGATTCCTTTCTAATCAGAATCTGGGCATGGGTTTCTGTTCACCAAATGATGCTACTCAGCTGCTTTCTGTCAATATCTGCAGTGGCTTGACACGCCCTCCCAGTCACTGGGCCCCTACATACTTCATTAAAGTCCCTTCCAGATTTGATTCAGCAACTTCCCTGACTGGTCTGAAGTGTACAGTTTCTGTGAGATGAGAAAAGCTGTTCAAAAGGGAATGTCTGTCCCCTGGGAAAATCCAACCTTTGTTTTTGTTTTGTGTCAGACCTTCTGAAAGGCAGGAGAGAAAATAGACTGTTCACCAATGGTGCTGAAATTTTGTGTCTCAGGAGACAAGAGACCCTGCTTGAATGATTAGGTCCACACCCTTGGCCTGGAAGGACTGCGTACAAAAAAACCCTCTAGCAAAACTAGGATAAGTTCTGCAGCATTTTGATTTCAATGTATTAGAGTTTTCTGACAAATGTTATTTTTAGTGAAACAGAGTGGAAGAAATCTATGGCTAGATAGATTATTGAACATCTGGGAAATCCATTTTATATGGCATCTGTGGAAAAGAAATATTCTAGGCTATAAAAAGTGATAGACTACTTTCTGCTATGTCCATTTCAAATCACAGCAAATCCAAAGTGCAATTGTTAAAGGATCTAAATGTCATATTTTTATTTTCATTTCAGGATCTTCGATTCATAGAATCATAGAATTACAGAATATCTCAAGTTGGAAGGGACTCGTAAAGATCATTGAGTCCAACTCCCTGCTCCTCACAGTACTACCTAAAATTAAACCATATGACTAAAAGTCTCGTCCAGATGCTTCTTGAACTCTGACAGGCTTGGTGCCATGACCACTTCCCTGGGGACCCTGTTCCAGTGACCGACCACCCTCTCAGTGAAGAAGCTTTTCCTTATGTCCAAGATGATCTTCCTCTGAGGCAGCGTCATTCCATTTCCTCGTGTCCTGTTGCTGGTCACCAGAGAGAGATCAGCACCAGGATTACCCTGTCCCAGGTGGAGAATCCGGCAGTTGCTCTTGTTAAATTTCATATGGTTGGTGATTGCCCAGCTCTCTAGTCTATCGAGATCTTCCTGTAAGGCCTCTCTACCCTCAGGGGAGTCCACAGCTCCTCCTAGTTTAGTATTGTCAGCAAATTTACTTAATGTGCATTCGATTCCTGTGTCCAGATCATGTATAAAAACATTAAAGAGCACTGGGCCTACAATTGAGTGCTGGGGAACCCCACTGGTAACTGGTCACCAGCCTGATGTAACCCCATTTACTATAACTCTTTGAGCCCGACCCATCAGCTAATTGCTCACCCAACATATTATGGACTTGTCTAGCTGTTTGCTGGACAGTTTATCCAGAAGGATATCGTGAGAGACAGTATCAAAAGCTTTGCTAAAATCAAACCCCACCACATCTACTGGCTTTCCTTGGTTAACTAGATGGGTGACCTTGTCATAAAAAGAAAGTTGCTTAGGCAGGACTTTCCCCTCATGAACCTGTGCTGGCTATGACTAATGACTGCATTGTCTCTCAAGTGTTATTCAGTAACTCTCAGAATAACCTTCTCCATAATTTTACCAGGCACTGAAGTGAGACTGACAGGCCTGTAATTACCAGGGTCTTCCTTCTTACCCTTCTTGAAAACTGGGACAACATTTGCCAGCTTCCAGTCAACTGGGACCTCTCCAGGCTCCCAAGACCATTGAAAAATAATGGAGAGAGGTCCCACAATGACATCAGCCAGCTCTTTCACCACTCTGGGATGAATCCCATTGGGCCGCATAGATTTATGTGCACCCAGCTGGAGCAACAAGTCTCGAACAAGTTCAGGGTTGGCTGGGAGTTTACCATCCCCCAGTCATGGTCTTCCAACACAGGGCTCCAGGGGTCCCAGGGCCCATCATCGGTGTTGAAGACAGAGGCGAAGAAGGTATTAAATGTCTCTGCTTTGTCTACATCCCTATTTGTGAGGTGACCGACCTCATCAAGTAATGGACCGATGTTATCTCTGATCCTCTACTGATTTCACCCACAGAAGATGGCCAGCTGCCTTACTGCTTGTATGTAGAAGATAATAATCACAAAATGTCACTAACATTCCCCAGTTTCTAAAAGCCACCAGTATCCTGGACAGACAGCTTGTCACTGGGATTCTTGAGTATACTGGACAGTGCTAAATATCCCTGATGAGAAACTTCTGGATGTGGAAATGGAAGGAGATAGCAGCCAGAATGGGGAACAGTGTCCCAGGCCCAATACTCTGGTAACATTGTTCTTCCTCTGATGTGGCCCAGTGGTACACAGGCTGATGGGAAAAGGGTACTTAAAGAGGACTGCTAAATTAGCACCCCAACAGTTGATTAATTTACTGTAACTTACTTCAACTGAGGCATTTTGATGAAAACAGACTATTTCATTAACTCTTGAAAAAGGAATCTCTGGCAAGAGAAGGTCAGGGTGCCAAAAGAAACATCTCTGGAGACCTGCTGTCCTCTCGGCTAGCCTTGTCTCCTACCTCAAGCTGCAAGAGGAACAGAAGTGAACCTAAAAACATAGAAAATGCCCTGTTGGGGCAGAGAGCATAGTCCAGACACTACATCTAGTAGTGGCAGGAGGAGATGCTTTTTAGGGAAAGCAGACAAGTCTGGCCACTATCTGTGGTCCATTATGATCCAGGCACACTACCTCAGTACCCACAATGACTGTGGTTGGGAACCCTGCATCTTTAGTGTCTGTTTATGGACTTGTTACCATGAATTGCTCAGATCTCTTTTGACCCTGTCCTGCCAGCTGTGTCCACAGTTTACTGGGGCAGCAGATTCCAGAAGTTCACAGCTTGCCATGTAAATAAGTACTTGCCTCTGTTCTAAACTGATCAACTAATCACAATAAGTGCTAGTTCTTGCTATACTAATGTCTCATCATTAATCACTGAAACATTTGTCTGCATTTGAAAGACTGTGCTAGCCTAGAGAATTTTCCACTGATTCACTGGGAGCTATAACATGTAACTGACAGCAGCACTTGATCTTAAAAGAGCAACTTAAAAGATCCACAGATGCTCCATTCAATAGAAGCAAATCCTCCATCCACCAGGTGGTGTGACTGTGGAATGATAATTACAGTATCCATGGTCATTGCATTTCAGCAGCTCCAACTCAGCTGGCTGAAAGAAGTAAGAAAATATTTTTATCTGCAAGCCTGTCCTGGAACTGGACCACTAGATGTATCCACTGGAAACTCCTTGAAAATTGTCCTGGTTTCAGCTGGGATAGAGTTAATTTTCTTCCTAGTAGTGGGCATAGTGCTGTGTTTTCGATTTAGTATGAGAACACTGATGTTTTAGTTGTTGCTAAGGGGGGCACAGCCAGAATAGTTGATCCAAACTGACCAAAG